GCTGGTAAATGTGACACATTTTTTAAAATAACTCCTAGACCTCCTTGATACACAGGCATCCCAGGGTCACCCTATATCATATGCGGGCACTTATTAAAAGCTGCCACAACTGGCATTATTGTGCAATGAAACGATTTATAGGGTTGACATTGGAACAGTTTTATTTCGAAAAAAAAATCGCATGAACTGACCATGCTGTATTTTGGGGAAAAAAAGCATAACAATTGATAAACTTACAGTATCTATGCTATGTTTTTTTGTGCCCCAGATTTTAGATTCTAACAGCACCCAGTTTAACCATGCAGTATGCGTCATATCTTTCATCCTTAGTTCCAAGTTCTTCTGACTTATGGTCATCTTAGATGAGTTATAGGTCAAAATTAAATTTATTCTCTAAGAGACACAGGAAATTGAGAACCAACCTACAATACTAGTCACATTTATAGTTGGGACAGTTGGCATGTCAGAAGAAAAATAATCAACACTGGGAGGGAAGGAGCACAACTTTTTGTCGGAATATGGGTTCAGGGTAAGGGGTGTCCCTCGGGTACAAAACACGATTCTCCCTTTTTGGTGACTTATTATTTTCCAAAGCAATCAAATACTGCTGTGTTACATGTCTATAAAGTCCACTTCTGAAATGACTGACTGAATGGAACATGTCATTGTGGGTGGGGTTAGCCTATGTTAGGCAACATGATTGAAGTACAGTTGAACCTCCCGTAAGCGGCCATCCCAAATGCAAAGACTTAGTGGTCACTAACAGGAGGGAGCAAACATAGAGATCAGAGAATGTCAAGTGGTCACTTACAAGAGGTCCAAAACGATAGAAAATAATTAAACTTTAAGGCCCAAAAAGTGATTGCGGTCGCTTAAAGGGGGTGGTCATTTTCTAAAGGTTCCAGCTGTGAGGCTTTGACTGGGAAAGTTTTGTTGTTTTGTGTAGGGGGTTGCGCACGAAAGGTGGTCGCACATGGAGGTTCAACTGTAGAAACAACTGAGAATAAACAACAGCACTTACATCTTTTTAATTGAGCTCATTGTTTCACTGTTCTTAGCAATGACATCAGCCAAAATGTGTTGTATTCCCAGTGACACCTGCTTGATATTCTTCACACCTGCAAGTAGGCAAACCTGCATATATCGAATACGTCGTACGTGTACACATATTGTAAGTTCAAATTCTGCATTTTTTGTCAGTCTGATTTTGTTTTGTTGGTTTTGCTTGTTTGTTTGTTTAACAAAATAGAGACAATGAACTACAGAAGTGATAAACACTATACAGTCATAAATGTCATAGTTCATTTTTTATCGCAGGTAATTTTTATTTTTCTTTTGTTCCAACTTTATTAGCACACATTACCATACCCAAAAACAAAACAAAAACAAAAACTGCCTGAGCTAAAAAAAATAATAATAACTACGTAACTGCTAACATATATACACTGTATGTTAATCTAGTTGATTGGAGTTTTAGTGATATATTGGAAGCTTCCTAAGAGGTTGCAGACCGAAGGAAAACTCAAAAAAAAAACAAAACAAAACCAAAAAAAAAAACGTACTAGAAAATTGACTGTGTATAGATTGATGCAAGCTCAATACCACAATAACTCATTATACATGTACACTAGTGCACATATTTTGGCAGTCTTTCACTTGCCCCTTTTTTACATCAGAGTTGTACTCCTCTGTCTATTGAACCCATCAACAAACAGTCAGGGTGTGAGGAAGGTGCCTGGTCAAACGAAGGGAGCTGCAAGCCAGCCTAGATGGTAACCATGACGACCATGTGAGCAGCAACCACCAGGCACCATCACAAGTGAGAAACTCAAATTAATGGAAAAATCTGCAGATATTTGCCCTTTGAAGGACATCCAGAAGAAAGGGAGGGCTCGGAGCAAAAACGGCTAAAGCTATGGCATGCAAAAGCAACATGAGCAAATACAGGTTTGTATTCGTGACCTCAAGGAAAGCGCTGTCAATTCATAGTAGTCCTACAAATGCCCAAGACCACCACTATCCAATAATATTAGTGATGGAGTACAAGAGCCAGCATTGTCTTGTGTTTTAACTTTGCCTAAATTACATTTAACCACAAGTCATACTGTGGTCGATAATATTTTGTCATTATACCACAGATAATTTAGGTTGTTCTTTGCATGACATGACTGACCTTCTGTGTTTGGTTTGACCAATGTTTCCAGTTGAACACTTTTTGGATCTTTTAACAAGCATTCAGCAGGTTGACCAAGCCCCAGCTGTCTTGCTCTCTCAGCATGAGATCCTTTACTACCTTTCTTGAAAGGTGCATACTATTCATTGGAAAATAATAGAAGTGTAATACATAAATGCTGAGAAAAACATCACAGTTAAATTTGCAACTTATACAGTTGTGAAAAAAAAAAACCTAAATATGAAAAATTGGTTATGATCAGCTCCCAGTTGGCTGGCTAGCCAACTGGTTACAGTTCAAATCCCAGCAGGCCTGAATTTTTTCCTGCATTTACTTCTTCACAGTTATCCCGCTTTTCAAACTATGCAATTCTTTGTTACAAAAAAGTACTATAATGTATATGTTGTGGTTTAATTTTATCCTGAAGGTTTAAATTTTCTCTCCTTTGTTCCAAACTTATTACCATACAAACAGGCCAAAACAAAAGAAAATAAAATTTAAAAGCACCATTTTAAACAGTAACACCTGTGGTACATGTTGTCTTCGTAACTTATTTGTTTTTGCGTTGCATCAGGGCTCCATTTAACTTAGTTCTGCTAAATTGGATGTCCCTGGATAAACACTGAGTAAAAAATAAAATAAAATAAATAACTAACTAAATAAATAAATATTTACTTTGACCCAATTTGGACTTGATAATTCCACCTTTAAAATATCAAGCAATCTTTTCTTCACTCTTTTACTTTGATTATGTTGCGTAATCAGAAGAAAATAGATGAAGAAAGTTCATACACTGTATATCAAAGTACAAGCTCACCTGACGGGAGACAAATTATTGATTTTACAGTATTTTATCCAATGACAGGCAGAAAATATTCAGCAGCAGCTGTAAGCCAATTCAGATTGAGTTATAAATAAAAAATCCACTAATTAAAGCTTGTGCCACATTTATAATTATTAACAAGACAATCAATAAAAAAAGCCTTACCACTTCTTCAACTTCTTCCATTGTGAGAGCATTGTTAAGACAGTTCTTAATTTCTGGAGTAAGCTTCTCTCCTATCTTCTTGGCAACTGAGGCTGCCCGATCTTGGATTGATCTGCCAATATTAATAATCAAACCCATGCTAACAGACATCCTCTATCTCTAGGCAACTACTACACAAGGAAATCTCAACAGTGGCTCTCCATCATTAGAGAATTTACTGTGTGAACTAATGACAGCTATTATATAGTGTATCTCGCCCCATGTAAGGGAATTCGGATTCCAGAATCCAGGAAATTTTTGCTTGTGGACCCAGAATCTGGGAAAATTTTGCTTATGGAATCTGGAATACAGCTCAAGGAATCTGGAATCCCACTAACGATTGTAATTCAGAATCCAAGTTCTACAGAAAAATAGTGGAATCCAGTAACTGGAATCCAGAATCCTCAACGTGGAATCCAGAATCCAAGATTGTCGGAGATCCCCTTACATAGGACGATGAATCAGTCTCGCTCTGAATTGCCATCAATTCCCACAGAGGGATTGTCATCTTTGTCATCATCCTCTCCCTCATCGCCATCATCATCATCATCATCATCATTGTCAACACTATAGATGATTTTCACTGTGACGTCATCAAATTGTACAGTCAAAATAGCGAGATTTTACGAATTCTTATTTACACTAGGTTGAAGGTAAACAAAAAATAAGTCTTTGTACAAGTTTCCAGTCCCGTAGCATGTTTCATTTCGAAAATACAGCAATCTGAACTTCCGAGTTTTCACAGTGTGTGACACCAACATAGGAATGCTCAGTGTCTCGTTGAAGAAAAAGTCTCTCCTTTTGATTTTCAGCAGTAAAACCACTTCAAGTATTAGGCGATGTGTTTATGCGTACGTATGCTAGTTCTAGAGTGAAAAGAAAGAGCTTTTATAGGAAAAGTGAACTCCAGATGTTTTTGTTTATTGGTGCACCAATATGGCGTCTCCATACAAAGCTCTACAAAGGTGCGTGAAACGTTTCGGCAAATAACTCAGAAACTGTGGGCCACAAAGACCTGAGACTTGGACCAATTGTTTATATAATAGTCTTTTGTAACATCTCATTTTCTTGGCTTCTTCCACTGGACGGTTTCCAATTTAATTTTATGTTGCGTGACAGTGAAAACGACCGAACCACAGATATTTGCTGACCCCCATTTTCCCGTTACGAACGTAATGTTAATCAGCTAGTTACCCCCGTCCCCACCTTTCTTTTTCTTTTTGAACTTACTTTAGCTGCTCGTACTGGGTCTGAATGTTCCGTAAGACTGTAGGATCCAAACCTCCAGTTTGTTCTTTGCGATAGCGAGCGATAAAAGGGACTGTGTTGTCTTTATCTAGCAGGTTTAAAACAGTACAAACAACATGAACATCTACATCTAGGTTCTCTGCTATAACGGAGGCAGCCGTAGGAGTTCGTTTTACACCGAAACTGGCCATTATTGTGCTATTTCCAAACAACACAAGCAACCTCAAGGGGCCACGTCAGTTTTTGTCCGTTCAAATTACCCTCCATTCTCAGCGGTTGCATACCGGCTCAGATGACGAAATCCTACTCATGTAAAATGCTTGTTTTATACCATACATTGTGTTGCCCTCAAAAGAAGATAAATTAATAAACATTTGTCCACTTTTAGCTCTTGAAATAATCATTTACTTCTTTTTCATCCAACCTGGATCTAATCTAAGAAACCTTGGTTAACCTTGGCGGTCATCGACCGGACTTTAATTGTACACGTCATTTCCGGGCTCACGTAAACCGGATACTTTCCCTTCTTGCGAGCGAGGTTCTAATTACATCATGGCGGTCGGCTTGAAAGGTCTTCTCTCACTGATCCTTCTTGTAATCATTTTAGCTTCGTCTTGGTTTATTGTTGTTTTGCTAGATTATTACACCGGACATGGCAAGTCACTCAAGCCTCACTCGAGGGAAAATGCGGCTCCATTTCCGAGCGACAAAATGGAAAATATATTTTGGTTCGTGCAGGTGAGAACGAAATGCACACGCATCATGTGATTCTTTCCGGGCCGGTGTTTTTCTCAAAAAAAGGTTTTCATTTAATATCTGCTCTCTTCTTTTGTTGATGTATTTTCTCTTTATTCCGAGTATATAGGGTTGTTGTTTAGTCCGAATTTGTAGGGTTGTTGAGGCGGGGAACTTTTTTTCAAATCCATATGTTCTTACAGTTGGATTAATTAACTTATTTAGGAAATTCTCCATACTACCCTATTTAGTCGTCTTGTTGGCAATCTACAAGTTTCTTCATTCCAAGAACATTTAAGGTATTAATTAGTGGCATTAAAGGCTCATCAGGGTAACTTCTGTGTGGCAAATACAAAATTTTGCATTCAGAACCTTTATACATACCGTATTATGAAGACCACACAAGGAGAATTTTTAAGTTAAGTGAATTTACTGAATTAAATTGATTATTGTATTACTTTTGTATGGTATAACCTTTGAAGTTCATTACAATAAAATTATTACTTTATAATAGTAATTACTAGTTGCATATTCTTAAAATCCATGAGAAATGGCATGTTTCTCAATAAGATCATTATGTTATTGTTCTAAGCTTATTATTTTAATTCACAAGGTATCAGATATTCACATCAGTAAATACCGTGAACCTCAAAGAGGTAAAGATCTCAAGCAGTTTTGTAATGAAAATATAGATGTTATCAAGCCCATTACAGTCTTAGCTACAGGTAAGGAAATATCACCATGTAGTTTATATTTTGTGAACATTTAACAAGGCTGTGCTCTAAGGAAAATTTCAGGGAGCCCTTCGCGCTCCCAAGCATTTTAACTAAAGCACCCAGACCTCAAAGTTGGTCGCCTGAATAAAAACTTCAAGGTGCCCTTCGGGCTCCCAACCATTCCAGCTGGGGTGCCCAGGCCTCCAAGTTGGTCGCCCGAGTACATCTGATGAAGAAGTATTTTGTACGCACACAAATCTTACTGGCCTGCTTATCACCAAACTTGGTAATTTTAGCTTTTGGGTGCGACAAAAACCCGCATGTTGTCTTATGAAACCCATCAAAGTTTTCGTGCCATTCAGATTTAAAACCAAAAACGTTAGCAATGCCGCCAAATTGTTCAGGCTTTAAAGAGGGAAAAGCAACAAGTTCAGCAGGTTTGCGTAAACTTCATTAAGATGTTTAGGGTCAAACATAGGAAAACTGTGCTTTTTTACCAGTAATATTAAACTTAAAAATAAATATTCGAAAGGTGAATCAATGCGGCATGAAATATAAAGTGACGGAGTTTACGCGGCAGATCGAACTCAAGTTCCCGTCAAAAATTCCGCGAAACAGTGAAACCGCCGCGGCCCCAAACCTATTGTTTTAATAAACAAAAAAAGTCATCTTTAATTTTCTTTTCTATATTATCAGTGAATCTTTTAGGATAATTGAGCTTTTCGTGGATACAGCTGAAGCGTAAACCAGCTCTTCTTTACGTGTTTTTATTTTTGGCCGCTAAATTTAGCCTATAATTATATGCATGCACCTGAATGTAGTTTTCAATACGTAAAATGCCAAGACAACATGGAACTGCCCTGTTTCTAAAACAATGTAAAGGGAAGAAAACAATCATAAGTTATGTTTTAGCCAAGGAGATACAACAGCCAAAAACCGTAAAAATATTAAATTTGCATACTGGTCAATACAGCAACTTCCGTTTTATGCAAAAATAAATTACTCCTCGTCGCCAGCTGTGCTCTACCCCTGTCAGAAAAGTATTAACAGTTTTTCCTAAAAACTGTAACTAATAAACCATTCTATTTGAAAGAAAAAATTTTAGAACTATTTTAAGAAGTGGTACAAATTGATCCGTGCCGCTTGTCACGTTCAAAGTGATGTATTATGTTACATGTGAAATCATGCAGAACGACCTTTGAGCATCGGCGTGCGCCCGTTTCTTTTGTTCAATATTCCTAAAAACATTTTCTGTAGGGTTAAGTAAACTCTGACTCAACAAGCCAACACTGTTATGTTTAATTTTTCTGCCCACTTAACTGAACATTGCACTAGAAGCAAGAGTGCCCAGCTGGGCGACTGGGAACTTTTTTTCAGTTGCCCGAAGCTAAATGTTAGTTGCCTCAGGCGACCGGGCGCCGTTAGAGCACTGCCTTGTTTAATATGATTGAATAAAATACACTTTCTGTTGTTGGCCAGTTATAGTTGTAACTCTCGTGTTTGGAGTTCAACCAAAATACTGCCAGACTACTCACCATTGCAATAATGGATGTGGGTGTGTTCGTCTCAAACAGCCATATTATGATATAATTATCTCCAAGTCCACCCATCCCCTGGAGTACCAGTAACCCTGAGCTAGTGAGAGCTTAATTGGACATATAGATTTAGTCAGAGCTGAAAGCGAAGCTCCGGAATGCATTTTGAATAGACTTCAGACAATGGACTTTAAACCATTGCAAAGAAATCTATACAGTTTATAGCTTTAGAAGAGATCCATATGACTGAAAAACATAACCTTGAGCCTGAGATCAATTAAAAGCTAATGACTGGTCAGCAGAACACTGTAAAAAAACACATGACCTCGATGAGTTGACACCTGGGACAGCAATGTGGTCATGTGACAGTGGTCAGTTGATACCCTGTTTTGAGAGCTGTCAATTGACCATAATATGGATATCTATTATCAAGTTAAGCATAGGTTACAGGCTCCCAGACTAGCTAGAAAGTTTGACATTTCACATTGGTTGCCCTGTGGTACAGACAGACAGACAGATATATAGATAGACGTACAGTCATGTGATTACCAAAATTTCTTGTATGGATAGATTACCAAATTTTCTTAGGTATGGGGATCTGCTGGCGTGTGCATGGAGTTCTGCTATGATACAAATTATTGTTTTATGCTTTTTTATTTATTAAAGCTGTCATTTAAGATGCCCAGCCTTGTCTCCTTTCCCTTTCAATTGCGTCTCATATTATAGAAGTCATGAAAATCACATGTTTTAACCTTTTTTTGTCTTTTAAAAGGTGATTTGACAGATGCAAAGGATGAATCTAAACGTGGTTCTGAGCAGTATATAGAAGAATGGCAAGAATATAACAGTATCTTGAAAGAGACAAAAGTCCAGGAGAAAACGAAATGGTTAGACCTAAGAGGAAACCATGGTTAGTAAAACTTATACTAATAACAGAGTTTAAACTTGGTGGCCACACAGCTACTGGGTAAACATTGAGCTTTTTTAATTTGATCATTGATTGACCAGTAGCCATAAACTCATTACTCTGTAGAAGTCTTGTGTGTCTGACTGAAACTGTAATATGGTTACATGTCTACTGAGCTGCCTAAATTAGAAAATTTCTAAGAGTGATGCGGTTGTAAAATGAACATTAGACAAATATGCAGTATTCCACTCTAATTACATAGTTTTCTTATGTTTACCTGTAACTATTTGGCACTAATAATTGTTGTCACCTGCTGTCTTCATAGGTTTAGTAAGATCACTCATCTGGATTCAGATGTATGACATGATTGGGATGTGTCATTACATGTGTCTACATTTTGTGATTGTGCCATGTATTATGTTTGCTAATTTTTTTTACGTATTGTTTATTGTCTTTATATTTACTATCAGATGCGTTCAGTGTTCCTTCAATCACAAGTGCTGAAAATATGTTCAAGTGAGTACGAAGAGTCAGCATTTATAATTTCCCAAACTGATGCCTAAAATTCTGCTTACCTTATTAAAATGTCCAATAATCAATAACAAATAAAAATAGAAAGTAATAATAATGATGATGATAATAATGGTGATGATGATGATGAAGACAATGAGGATAATAATGATGATTATGATGATGATGTTGATGATAATGACGACGACGACGATGATGGTGATGATGATGATGATGATGATGATGATGATGATGATGATATGAAAAGCTGTGTAGTTCAGGGATCTGTTACAAGAAGAAATATGGTATATGGAAAATCATATACAAAAAAATCGATCAAATGCATTTTAGTAAGACGGGGCATAGAATGCAATTAAGAATAATAATATTTATTGAGGGAGAAATTCTTTCCTTTTTTAGGGACTATTCTTCCAGTGGTCCAAAGGGCCATGCAGGTTCAAAGCCATATCAGTTTGTTTACCGAACTGAGTATGGTTCCTATGCATTCAATGGAATAGACCTCAATCCAGATCCGGGACCCAAAAGACCATTTAATTTCTTTGGCCATGTCGATCCGGTAGGTATACCTAATGTGTGTGTGTTGTGTGTGTGTGAGTACATGACATCGGGAGTTCAGGCTTCAGGAGTAATCATCGTTTGTTGCGACAGTGCTGTTTCATATGGTCCGAAATTATAGAACCACACTCATCAGGCGTCTTCAACGATTGACCGTTAAAATTAAAAGCTGGCTGTAAAATTTGGATTGTTGCTATAGGGATGCATTATATTCTGAAGATTGTATCTACTAGGTAACAGATGCATTATGTCTTACTTGCGTTACTTTAAAGTTGTGGTCCTATATATAACTTCCGACCATACGAAACAGCACTGTCACAATAAAGGATGATTTATTCCTGAAGTTATTTATAGTCAATGCTCTTTAATCAAATGAATGTATGTGTATGTATGTTTCAACTTCATTTAAAGATAAAAATTAGAACAAAGAAAATTAAGAAGATGCATAAAAGTTAATTAAGGCCTTTTTAAAACTATGTACACATTCATTCTTCTTTGGAAATTGATGTTGTATTCCATAATCTTGCTACCCTCACACTGTGTAGGCCCCCCTTCCCCACCCCCTTTGGTTTCAAGCTTGAAGCGAGGGCAGACTAAGTTGAAGGAGCTATTTCGACTAATCCAATTATTAGTACATACGAATTTAATACCAGAGGATCATTCATCATGTTTCCTGGGCTATGTCCATAATACGTTTACTGAGCACAGGAAAAAATAACGCATTCCCATTTTTAGATAGTTTTGGATATTTAAAGAATACCCACAAAAATCCCAAATTTGGAAGAGTGAGATAAGTCCCAATCTGGGAACTTGGTTGGGAATTCCCTGGTTCGCCCGCGTGTCGGCGTCAAGGATAACGCGTGCACTTTACTTTTGGAGACGAAAAACCCTCAGCAAATTCAAATTACCTTTGGGAGCACGCGGACCATACAGTGGTGGCATACAGCATTGTTTGAAATAATACAGAAGAGAAGTGATGACGTCACAAAAAAAGAAAAAAAAATAATAATAAGATGTGAAATGACAGGACATGTTTGAATATTCAGAGAGACAAGATAAAAATTTTCCACTTGCTCAAAATGAGCATGTCAGGGTGGTGAGATATAAATACCGTTATGCTTTGATGACTTTATATAAATCCGTCTGAAACTCACGATTCTCACATTGCCCATAATACACCTCATTTACCCCCAAAATTTTGCATACAGTAACCATTATTTCCTACTTCTGCTTAGTATTACAATCATTCCAGTCATGCCAGCCATCCCAATGCGGGTTATGCAACATTTTGAGGGGTACATGAATAGGATTTCATCCACAGACTCACAAGTTAGAACAATACTTAATGGTTCCTGCCCTCCATATTGGCTCCAGTCTCCAGTCACTTAAAAGGTTCCTATAACACTATTCACTGGATAAATATCTGTCCAGTGGATGATGCAAATGATTTTACTATCCAGCATTTCAGCAACCCAGGCCTGGGGTGAAAGGTAGGGTCAAGATAGTGGGAGATGACCGTATCTTACTGGAGACACAATTATTGTTCAAGGGATAACTGTCTCCTTTAAGTGAGTATGTTGATTGATATACCTCGTGATTTTTTTCTAAGGAACGCATTAATGAAATGGAGAGATTGGCTGATGCCAGCAAGTCTTTTAATATGACAATTTGGTTTGGGCATCATCCATTTTCGGTCACAACAACACCCTATGTTAGGAGGATTTTAAGGTAAAGTTATTCAGATTGACTTGTACATGTATATGTTACAGGTCAAATTCAATTTCAGGTTAACTAATTTTTTTAACCTAGGTTGATTCTCAATGTCCTTTGTCTCCTAGCCCTCTTAGTCCATCCACAACGTAATTTCTGAAAGATTAGTTCCTTGAACAACTTGAAATATTCGCGAAAAGGTTTACAAGGATGCAAAGTCATATTTCACCGGTGTCGCTGTGGTCATCTAATATCGTAATTACCTTACGTTTGCTCAATTAAATAATAATTCTCTAAAGGTCATTTGAATTACCTTTACGACACACCTGTACTGATATAATTCTTTTCAGATCAGGGGCCGTTTATCTGTGTGGCCATCTTCATACGCTGGCAGAAATTGTTCCCAAAATGCACGCTGTACACGTTGACGGGCACTTGGAACTAGAGCTTGGAGACTGGCTGGATACAAGAAAGTAAGAGTAACGTTCACATATATTTGCACCGATATATATATGTCTTGAATAAATCAATAAACATTTTTATTAATTGCATAACAAGTCATCTCACGCCTTGCGGACACTTTATTATTACGAAGAACGCCAGTCTCGTCCCCAGTCGTCCTCGGCGATTTCGAAGGAAACCTCAGGAGGTGACGTTACATGTCAAGCTTGTCGAGGAAATTCGAGCTCGGTCAGTTCCAAGCCTCCTCTACTTACTCGGGTAGCAAGATCTGGCCCGAGAACGAAGCTAGAAGAACCCGTCAGGACATACATAACATCGCAAATCAAGGTTGCGTTCGATTGGGAAATCCGGTTTTCGGATTTTGAAATCGAACGCGAAATTCGCGTAATCCGAAAACGGATTTCACCTACGAGAAATCCGTTCTCTGGATGGATTTCAATTAGGAAATCCAAATCCGGATTTCATAGATTTCCTTTTTACCGTTCGATTGGGAAATCCGAAAAAGGATTCGCAAAACTGTTTTCGTGAACAACGGTCTTCTTTTTGCTAATTGTGCGTGTGCGTGCAAGACCGCTGTTCTCTTAAGGACAGTTTTTCAAATTAATTTTTTCGGATTTCCCAATCGAACGGTAAAAACGCAAACCCCAGTTAATTAAAGTACAAGTGACAAACGGGCAGATGGGTGATGGAGGACCATAAGGCAGGCAGCCTTCTTTTAATTGTTAATATATAAACCATAGTATTTTGGTGGACTTTGTCCTTCCTTTTCTTTTTATTTATTTCTTTTTTGTAAACGATAACAGTTACCTGTAATGAATTGTAAATGTAATGTATTGTAATTGTTTGTGTGTGCGAAATAAAAATAAATAAATACATAAATAAATAAAAAAAAACGCAAACCCAAAAACGGATATTTCAGCGTCGAAATCCATTTTCAGATTTCGCGTACGATTGCAGATCCGAAATGCGGATATTAAAATCTAAATCCAGATTTCCCAATCGAACGCACCCTAAAAATAACCATGCCTTCTTTCTAAGAAGTTTTGTTTTGGTTGTTTGTTTGTTGGTCTTTTTGTTTTTTCTCTATAGCCACAGGCCACTTTCCTCCGCAGATACTCATTCACGCGTTATTGGATTTCCCCTACGCAAAGTGGGTGCAGGCGAGACGACAGAACATTTTCGTGCCCGCACTCACTCGCGCCATGCCTCTCTCACTCTCGCAAAGCCCCTTTATGCCTCCGCGGAGGAGAGAGCCGTCTTCATAAGGGTTTTTGAGAGGAGTTGATACTTATATTAATTTATCCACGTCCTAATCTGTTTCAGCTACAGAGTGCTGGCCGTTGATCATGACTTGATCTCATTTGTGGACGTGCGGTTGAACACGTGGCCTGTTGTGCTCATCACCAACCCAAAAGACGCACACTATATCATGCGGCCACACGAACCGCTGGGGAGAATGAGAAAATCAGCTCACATCAGGTCATTAAAATATTAGTTCTTACAAGCCACGGCGATTTCCGATAAATTGCTAAATTTACTTTCCAAATCGACTTCTTTTTTCTTGCGAAAAAGGGAGAGTTTTGATTCAGGATTGATAAGCAATAAAAATCTCTCCTGTGAATACAGCATCTTAACGCCTCTCCCCCGTCTCACCTCTCTACGTGGGACGTTTCAAACGAGGAGGGCCGGGTAGATTACTACACACTCCCATTCATTTATGGTGACGTAAGTGACACAGGGTGGTGAAGAAAAATGAGGAATATTGACTTGATGATTTTAAGAAAAGGAAAACGGATCATTTATTGATAAAACCGAATAGTACTGGCGTAGTATTTTTGCTCCTGAAATCACGTTTTCTCGATCGATCTCAAGTCGTGCAATCCCGACGTCATAAAATATAAATCAATTAACATCTTCGTACTTGAAAAAGTGTTGGCCTTGGTACATTTTTCAGTACTATAGCGTGCACTTCATTTTCGCGGACTGAATTTTTTACTTGTCACAGGTTTCTGGCTTTCTCTCCGTCTCCTATCGAATCTACGTTTGTCGAGATTGATGGTTCCCCTCTTGAATTACCCGCTACTCAGGTTGAAGGCCCACTGTTTGCCTGTCAATGGGACCCCGATAAGTACTCCTCTGGAATTCACTCCATCACGATCAAAGTTCAGGTACAGTACCATCCTTGATTTTTCCAATCACGAGATAAAAACTGCATGAATTCTCCTCTGGAATTATGCTCCCCCAACCCCCTTACCCGCCCGCGCCCTGTGACTGTTTACATTACCTTATTCTGCAGTTAGATCGTCCAGGACACGATTTTACTATGATTGGCCGACATCTTGATTCCAATTGTACTTAGTGTACTAGCTGCCATTGGAAGAGAAGTGGAGTATAAAATCTACCTAGGGACGGGCTTTGGTTTTCTATAGTATTAGCTCAGGCAATCTTACTGTTACTGGGAAATGGTGACTGCAACCAGTATGGCGTGATTCCTAATGACTACAAATTTTTTGGAAAGCCCTAATCTAGGAGGCGTGATGAAAGCCTCAAGTTTGACGCTATGAGTGATTTGGTAACAAAAACGTTTTTGTCCACATGCAACCCGCAAATATATATAGTATTCTAGACGAGTGTCCGGTGAAATGGATATTCCTAACCATTGTTTTTTCCAGTTTGACCAACCACGCACACCATGGCTAAGTTCTAAGGCCTAGCGCGATTTTTTGGATAGCCAGATTTTTCTCAGTCATGGTCATGTGTAGAGACTCTGCCTCTGTAAAGTTATTTTTACATGAAGTGTTTATTTATTTATTTATTTATTTATTTATTTTTTGTTCCGCACAGGATTCTGCTGGTCGTACCACATCGCGCACTCAGTTATTTTCATTGGACGGATCCCGACCGGCACTGGATCTCATCCCAGCCTTTCTTATGTTGACGGATTTTACTATGCTGGTAGGAATCATCCACTGATTCTAGTATCATCCAATAACCTTCTCATACAATCTCTGCGGTTATGACCGTTGATGCGATGAATCGAAACTGGTTCAAAGGCGTGTCTCGCGATTAAAAACCTCGCATTTCAAAACGAGAATTCCTTACGACGGCAGTTTACCTTAGTTCATACTGCTGGCAAATTAGATTATCTTTCATGCTCATGCGAAGTTTTTTCATGGTTACCAATGTTATTTTATATTCTGTTGTGGATGCAACCGAGGCAAAGAGGGCTTATAAACGTAAATATACAAGACAAGTAATATTGCCACCATTTTTGAATAAGGTATGGCAGAGAACTGCAACTAGAAAAGTAACGGTTCAGTGAACGAAGAAACTGCGTCAGTGTATTTTTTCCCGTTGGTTTACATGTAGTTTTTCCCTTAGGCACATTTCTTTCTCTGCTCACCTGGGAAACTTCAGATGAATCAAATCTAAACTGGCGCTTGATATAATTCTCTGATTTAATCGGCCCCTATTTCTACGAAAATCAAACGTATGAAACATGTCAAACTGTTTTAAAGTTTCATGTTGTTGTTGTGGTGGTGGTGTTGGTATTTCCGTTTGTTTGTGTTTTGTCCCCAGTTTGGCTTACACAGGTAAAGGAAGTTTTCTTCAAACGACCGTTGATAACAGGGACAATATGGTGAACTGTGGTCGTTACCGAAAAAAAACAAACAAACAAACAAACAAAGAATATCATGCCAAATGCTCTTCGTCTATTTCTTCCTGCAATCAGAAGCGTTAATTTAAAGGTTTTTGAAATGGGTTTTGAGAACTAAAGCTCAAAATGAAGTAAATTCTTCAGTAAGTGGTAACTAATTGGTCAGGAGTGAAAATGAAAGATTTTACAGTGAAACTGTTGCTTTTTTATTGCAGGGCCGCGTTCTTTTCTCCGTTTTCTTCTTTATTATCGTGCTTGGACTGGCTTTCCTGAGACAATGTGATTCCTCTACTTGTAAAGGTATTTTACCCATTTGTTTGTTTGTTCTTACATCTTCGCAAACCTCATTCTCCCGTTTGTAAAGATAACAGTCGAAGATCAAGATTGTCCAGTTCCACTTCATTTCTAACCAGAAAAAACTAACTTCAATTCCAAAATATCTCAGTAACGCTATGACAGATTTTAGCTCAAACTTCACGAACATCGGAGGCGGCAATTGGAGGAAAAAGCTCCCGTGAACGATGTTGGAAAAAAGTTCCCAATGCCGAGAAATACGACTGCAAGTAAGATAGATAATGACGCCATTTCGCTACTGTGACAACTCCGATGTTACTGTAACCTTGATCATCGCAAATTTTCGTCTTTATTTAATACAGCTGTTGAGGTCATTTTTTTCCAGATCTCTTTTGATGGCAACGTAATTTATGCTCAATCACAGGAGGTATTGACCCTTAAAAAACCTATCGAGCCACCTTAAATCCTCCTGTTTAATTTTGTCTCATCAGGATTTCTCTGTGGCGTATTAGGCAGGTGGTGGAATCGACTGCTGTTTCTTGCTCATGCGGATGATCTTTTCTATCCATTGTTCTTATTCGGCGTTTACACTGGCATTGGTAAGAAAACAAAACAACAGGTTGCTATTTGCCACGTAACCCTTTAGTCCCCAATGTCCACATAAACATTCTCCACACTGATATCCATACATCAAACCTAACCCTAACCCAAATCGCTAAGGTAATATGAAAAGGGAATGACCATATCACTAGAGTTTGGGGAATGGGGATGCCCAAAACGCGGAGATGCCCATAACACTGCAACGGCGGCTCCAGTCCCCGTCTCGTATTAAAATGGTGCATGCATGCTTATTATTTCGAAATGGTGGCAAATATTGCTTTCCTTCTGTTTTTGTTAGTTAGCCCTCTTTGCCTTGATTGCATCTGCAGAATTAAAACAAATTTTTACCTTTGAGTTAAAAAACCAGGAACGAAGTTGTATTTTGCGATCATGCTATGGTGGTAGTTTTAGCACTTACCAAACGATCACAGAATTGACTAAAGAATCAAGAACAAAGCTACTTCATACTGTAGTAGAACATAAGACAACTCGAAAATAGAAACAAGCGCAGATGAGGGATACTTCAGAAGATTAGAAATGATTTCATTTTGATCAAAGTTTTCATCAATTTGCATAAAGGCGTGACTTACTGTAAGTTTCATCTCAGGGATCATCTGTTTTGGATGTCTGGCAAGATACTCTAGTTTTACGTCCTTTAACCCGTTTTGAATTTAGTTTCTCACTAGCGAATTCTTTTAAATGTTTTTGCGATAGGAGTAGAATAACCAATAACTTGCAAAA